CAGGTTACTGTCGGCCGTAACCACGCCAAAACAACCAAAAACATAAAGTTAGCCGTAACTCTCTAACTGTGTCCTTCGCGCTCACCTCAGGCTCGCTCTCACAAACACGCACGCGCACAGCCCTCATCCCCGTCACACTCGCACCCCGCCCCCTACCTACTCATTCAATCCCAAACATGACATTAACTCACTGAACATTACTGCAGGGTCGCTACACTGCCCCCCCCTTACAAAGTCCCTCACCCCAAGGGATCACATGAAAAGTCTCTGGGGGGGCCTTCTCTGTCTCTGAGGCCACCTTGGAGTGAACACAAGCGGCTGCGCCTGCAGTCTTGGAACAACCTGTTGAAGGGCAGGGATTGAGTTTAGGGGTGGGGGAGGATGTGTGGATTCAGTAGGGGAAACAGTCAGTGAATCTGGGGGTTTGGTTGTCCAGTTTTTCTGGGAATGTGCAGAGGGTCCAGGGCGCTGATGTGACCGTGCATCGCCTCTGTATGGGGCCAACCTGTCCCTGTGGAGGGCCACCCGTCTCCCCTTAGGTGGCAGCTGGACCCTATACACCACCTCACCCAGCTTCTCCAATACCTCACAGGGGCCCACCCAGTGACAGTCCAACTTAGGGCACCGGCCCTTCTTTCTCCTTGGACTATGCACCCACACCAGGTCCCCGGCCTTGAAGTCCCCCCCTCTGGCCCTCAAGTCATAGTTTCTTTTCTGCCTCATGCCCGCTTACTGCAGCTGGTTGCGGGCAAAGGTGTGAGCTGACTCCATTCGGTCCTGGAGTCTCCTGGCGTATTCTGGTCCAGGTGGAATCGCCGGTGTGTCTGGGGGTCTGCCAAAAGCCATTTCTGCTGGCGTCCGCAGCTCTCGCCCCAACATGAGCAAGGCAGGTGTGCATGAGGTGGAATCCTGCACAGCCGACCTGTAGGCCAATTGGACGAGAGGGAGGTGCATGTCCCAGTCACGCTGATGTTCTGCAGTAAGGATGGCGAGTTGTTTTGCCAGGGTTCTGTTGAACCGTTCGACCAGTCCATCACTCTGAGGATGTAAAGGTGTAGTTCGAATCTTTTGCATGCCCAGACGGTCACACATAGCAGAGAACACGCCTGACTCAAAGTGTCTTCCCTGGTCGCTGTGTATGACCTCGGCCGCCCCAAACCTGGCAAACATGCCCTCCACCAGAGTATCTGCAACAGTCTTTGCCTCCTGGTCCGGGAAGGCATACGCCTCTGGCCATTTTGTAAAATAATCCATGGCGGCCAGAACATACCGGTTCCCTTTGTCTGTGCGAGGGAACGGGCCCATTATGTCTACCGTCACCCTCTCCATAGGGGCCCCCACCGCCAGCTGCTGAAGCTGGGCGCGAGACTGATCTGGGGGACCTTTGTGCGCTGTACAGAGGTCACAACGGCGGCAGAAGTCCTCAACATCTCTCCTGAGCTGGCCCCAGTAGAAACTTTGCCGGAGTCCACGAAGCGTTTTTGAGACCCCGAAGTGTCCTGCTCCCGTAGTGCCATGAGAGGCCTTTAGCACCGACTTTCTCAGTGCTCTGGGGACCACCACCTGCCACCTCTCCTCCCCTGTAGCTGGCTCTTTCCAGGCTCTCTGGAGCACTCCATCCTTCACCCGGAGAGTCTCAAACTTTGCAAACAGTCCCTTGGTGGCAGGCGAGCACCCCGCAACCTCATTCCACTGTGGCTTTTGTCCTGACTCCACCCACTGTAGCACTGGTTGTAGATCAGCATCCTGTTCCTGCTGCGCTCTCCATTCGGGTGAGTCGACAATCTGTGCCCCTCTGCAGACCGGCCCGTCTCCATTATGCATGGGATCTCGTTCCTCCTCCATACGGAGCTCTTTCTCCCGGGCCTCTCTCTTGTCACAGTATCGGCAGCCGCTGTGAGCACAGGGGCGCCGAGACATGGCGTCAGCATTGGTATGGCGAGCTCCAGCCCTGCACTCCACTTTGAAGACGTACAGCGCCAATTCCTTAAGCCAGCGTGCAATTTGCCCTTCTGGCTCCTTGAAGGACATCAACCACTGGAGGGCTGCATGGTCAGTTCAGACCATGAAGGGCAGGCCGCAGAGGTAATACTTGAAGTGGCTTAGTGTTCTCACAATAGCAAGGAGCTCTAATAGTACAAAACAATAGCGCCGTTCAGCTTTGTTGAAAGTTTTACTGAAGTACGCCACCACCTTCTCCCCCTCAGGCCCCACCTGGCTCAACACCGCCCCCATTCCAACATCGCTGGCGTCTGTGTCCAGGACGAATGGCAGGTTGGGGTCCGGGGGGGTGAGGATGGGAGACTCTGTCAAGGCCTTCTTCAAAGAGCTGAAGGCCCGCTCACACTCAGGAGTCCAGGTAAAATCACAGTCTTTCTGCTGCAGGCGGAACAGAGGTGCAGCTATACAAGAGAAGCCGCACACAAACCACCTGTAGTAGGACGCCAGTCCAATGAAGCTCTTCAGCTCTTGCAAGTTGGTGGGGGCTGGCCAGTTCTTCACTGCCCGCACTTTTTCCTCCAACGTGCTGATGCCCTCTTCCACAACTCTGTGTCCCAGAAACTCCAGCTCTTTCCTCATGAAGCAGCACTTGTCAGGGTGGAGCTTCAGACCTGCCGCTGCTATCCTCTGTAGAACCTGCCGCAGGGCCTCCAAGGCTGCTTGGAAGGAGCTCCCGTGGACCAGGATATCGTCCAGGTAGACCAGACATTCCTGTTGGGGAATGTCGGCTAACACCTTTTCCATCAGCCATTCGAACATGGCCGGCGCGTTGCACAGGCCAAAGGAGAGGACTCGAAACTTTCCACACCTCTCTTACTGCTGCCAGTCTGTCCACCTGTCCTCCTGCTGTGGGCTGCTGGTCCAG